GTTGAAAGGGTGGCCGCCGGGGGCCGGGGGGGTTCGACGGGGCCTGGGGGGGGGGCCCCAGGCCCAGGGCCCCCGAACGCGTGGTCAGAGGCGATGGGAGGCCTCGTGCGGGGGCAGAGCAGCCCTGAGGCCTCGCTGGGGAAGGGGGCACCCAGCCCCTTCCACCCCAGCCTGGGGCAGGACCGAGGCCACGGGGACGGGCTGGGGCCCTCCCGGGACACGCGGGGCCGGGGAAGCAAGACAGGGCACAGCAGGGGTTAAACCACTAAAAGTTTAATCGCATTATTACTACAAGAATAAAGGATACCTGAGAGCCTCTCGCAGTGCCCGTAGCGTTAATGCAGCAGAACCACAACCCCGACCCGCGTGTGGACGCCCCCGCCCGCCTCAACAGCCTCGGCCTAAAGGCACTGAAGTGCTTGAAACCCAAGATTACAAAGCGATTTGTTTTGTTTCCTTCCTCTAAAACTCGTAGAAACTTTAGGTTCTTCTCTGTTATTAAACATCATTTACACGTTCGCAGCCCCGCGCTGCCGCTGCGGGGGTCAGGGAGGCGCGGGGGGCCCAGGGCTGGGGGAACCCCGGCTGCTTTTGGGTTTTCTCCTTTTATTTTGGAAGCCCCCACCTCTGTGTGTGCCGTTCAGCTGAATCCACCTGCGGCGAGGGGGAGGACCCCCCCCTTGCACTTAAAAAAAGGAGAGAGAAAAGGGAAAAAAAAGGAAACCAACCCCAACCCCGGCAAACCAGCTTTCCCCACCCCAGAAACTGAGAAGAAAACAAAAACCAAACCAAACCCAAAATCACAACAGCAGGGATTTTTTTTGTCACTTTTAGTGTATGATACAACTTTACACCGCGTGTTAGAGGTTATTCACAAGGAAAGAAGAAGGAGCCCAAAGTTAAGGTACTGAACTCGTTACTCACACGAACACCCTACCCCAAGCACAGGCGCTACACGAAGAGAACAAGTAGAAAGTGTCTGTTCCGGCTGGTTTTTTCCTCCTTCCCCGAAGGCAGCGGGGGGCGCGGTGACGGCCGCGGTGAGGGCCCCGAGCGGGCAACACCCCGCCGTGCCGGGGCCCAGCTCTCGCCCACGCGAGTGTGTGGGGACGTGGCTCCCAGCGGCCGAGGGGGATTCGGTCCGGCCCCGTGGTGCCGCTCCGTGCCCGCCACGGGGGTTGCCGAGGAAGAGGAGCAGCCGGCAAAGCCGGGCCCAGCCGCAGGCCGGGCTTAGCGGAGCCCTTGACCCCCAGAGGTGGGGGGGCCGGGGCGGCAGCGGGTGACGCCAGCGCCCCGGGAGAAGCCCCCAGACTCACCGTCAGTGCTGCGGTCTGTCACGCGCTTCGGCAGCGGTTCTCCTCCGGTGAGCGGCCGGCACGGCTCCCGGGCGGGGCGTGGGGAGATCCCCCCCTCGCTGCGGCACCGGCAAACACTCGGTGCAGCATCCTGGTGCCGGGAGGTGACGCAGCCACCGGGCTCGCGCTGGTCTCGCCCAGAGGCCTTTGTTTGGCTTCGTTTTTCTGCTGCTGAATGAAAAATCTCCTCCTCCTCCTCCTCCTCCTCCTCGCCGGGGAAGGCTGCCGGCCGGGGCACGCAGCACGGCCGGCCGGGGCACGCAGCGACGAGCGTGCGAAGGCCAGCGCCGCCTCCAGTTAGTGCAAGCGATGGTGCGGATCCGGCAGGCGAGCGGAGCCAAGGAGGGGCCGGGGCGTCCCCGCGACGATGGAGCCCAGCCGCCAGTCTGGAATTGGCTTCGCCCCACCGCCCCCCACGGCTCCCGGCAAAATACAAAATAAGCAACATTCAAAGGGGAAAGAAAAAAAAAAACAAAGGTGGATTTTGCTGTGAGAGTGTTGCCAGCACAGGCGGCCCTGTCCCGCGGTGGAGACCTCTCCCCTGGTCCCCAGGTCCTGCCCAGCCCTGGCGCTCACCAGGGGCTGCCGCTGCCTCTGCGGGGAAGGGACCCGCGGCGTAGAAGAGCCGGTGACTCGGGATTGCCAACGCTGGCCGCGGGGTGGGAGGTGTCGTCCTCCTCATCCCCGCGGGAGGAAGGCCACTGGCGGGCAGGGGCCGTCCCCGCGTGAGGACAGAGCAGCGAGCAGTGACCAAACCGTTTGGTCTCCCCGCGTACGGGGCAGCGCGTCCGGGCCCTGCCGGCAGCTCCTGTACAACGAGGCAGCCGCAATCCTGCCTTCCCCCGGCTCCTGCCCGCAAACCGGGGCGGGCCGAGCCCCCGGCCCGGGGGACGCCGGCCGCGCCGACTCAGCGAGCCGGGCCCAGGGAGTCAGGGCGGATCGTGCCAGCCGGGCTCTCGTCTCTCTTCACGGCTCCTTTATCGGGGCCCGGGTCGAAAGGCTGCCCGGGAGGAGGGAGGGAGGAAGGGGGAGCCCAGCTGGGCCCCGGCAGCCTCCGTCGCAGAGCTCCGTGCTGATTATATACACGTCTCGTCCCCCCGCTGCCGGGGCCCTAGTTTTCGGGGCTCGCGTTCTGCCTGGCACGGATGAAGGCCATGCCGTGGGTGCGGAAGTGCGTCTTGAGGTTGAGCTGACTGTCAAAGCACCGGCCGCACACCTTGCAGGAGAGCTTGCCGTCGGCCGCGTGCTGGGCGCCTCCTTCCAGGGGGCTCCGGGGCCCCGGCTCCTCCATCTCGCCCGCTCCCTTCTTCTTCTTGTGGGTGATGAAGCGGTGGCGGTTGAGGGAGACCTGGGAGGTGAAGCAGAGCCCGCACTCCCGGCACTGGTGGGAGCTCTCGTCAGTCCGGTGCTGGGGGATGTGCTCCTGGAAGTCGGCCGAGCTGCTGGCGAGGTAACCGCATTTTCGGCACCGGAAGGGGGCCTTGCGGTCGCCCTTGGGGTTTTTGGAGGGGGGGGTGGTGCTGTCGGGCTCCTCGCTGCACGAGTCGCCCTCGTCCGAGGACAGCTTCCGCTTCCGACTGGACACCTGCGGGAACGGTCCAGATGAGCTTTAAGGGGTGCCCGATTTGAGCAGCTCCTGGCATAACCCAGCCTCCCCGGGGATTTCCCAACGGGGATTTCCCAACCATATTTGCTCAGATAAAGGCCCAACGGGCCTTGGCCGGCCCCAAGGGCTGCGCCGCTGCCAGGAACCCTGGCCAAAGGGCTCCCACCACGGCCTTTGGCTTGCCTGTACCCCTCGCATCGGGCGCCTTCGCCCCTCGCTGCCTTGAGCAGCCCCTAAGCGAGCTCTAAGCAAGAAGGGACGCTGTGCCTTTCCTCCCAGCAGACAGCGAGAGGCCGAGCCAGCCAAGTTCAATCCCTGCCCCGCTGGAAGGGAGCGGCGGGAGCTAAGCAAGCTGTGCCCAGCGCTGGGCCTCGCAGGGGGAGGGAGCTGCCGGTCCTGGGCACTGCAGGACGGGTGGAGGCAGGAGCACACCGGGATCAGGGCTCACGGCGATGCCTTCAGCCCTGCCCAAAACCTCTGCGAGGCCCCAGCCCTTTGCGAGCACCCCGAGAGGCCACTGAGACCTCGTACCTGCGTGGTGCCGGTCCCTATCCGGGCGATAACGACCTCCTGGCTCTTTGCCTGGTCGGTCACCTTGATCCCGTGTCGCACCTGGATGTGTTTCTCCAGGATGAGCCGGCTGCTGAAGGTCCGTTTGCCCTCTGTGCAGTACCTGCAGGGCCGGAGCAGGGAGGCAATGAAGCGATGCTCCGCAGCGAGGAGCCGAGCCCCGGGCCTGTCCCAGCCCTGGCTGCCCTGGGCAAGCTTGGCTCTGGCATCCTGACCCCCGCCTCTAACCACAAACGCGCTCATCCCTGTCGCTCTGGAGGGTATAAAACCCCGGAGTCCTTCCCGGTACCTCCTTTCCCTCCTGCTTCCCCGACACTTGTTCATGCTTCCGCCCGCTGTAGCTTTATCCTCCCCACAACAGCTTGACTGAAGGAAGCCAGAGTCGCCCCTATTACCCAGACCCCTTTTCTCAGCCAAGCCCAGAGGGT